AATTCGATTTCCTAAATTCGATTTTCGAAAAAGAATTCGAAAAAATCGAAAATTTGTTTTAAATAGACCAAAAAGAAACAATCATACGTAAATTAATCGAGATCGTTAACTGGTGTGTCTTAGTAGCAGCTTAACCAGTGGATAAATTAACCGAAACAAGCAATGAATGGCTCTATTCGATGTACGACTGGATCGTAGTTAATAAGTAATAACATTGTTAATAGTTTATAATGATCAAGCAAATTAATAATCAAAATAATTACGTCTAAAATGCAGCATGATTTTTGCAGTAGAGCGGGAACTTGTCAAGGAAAGTATGTTCTGGATACGGTTACTTCAAAGGACGATTGCTTGAAACTAATCGAAACGTCAGGATACATGCTTATCAGTTTCATAAGCAAAAGTTGGCAAAATATCCCAAATTTTATTCATTATGCAATAAATCGTCACTTATTTACTTTGCTATCATTAAATGTAATGATCTGAAATCGTTGATTACTTGGAATTTTCAGGAAAAAATTTTCAAATTTTTATTGAGATATGGCGGTGCTTCTCATAAAGTTTTAACATAAAAGTTGTGAAGGATATGATTAGATTAATCGATAGGAAGTGCTAAGATTGAAGGGGAAAGGAAACAAAACGCTATGAATGTTTCATTGATGTGAATAAGTATTATTGGTAATGGTTGTCATATATTTATGGGACATTTTCCTTGTTTTATTACAGATTGTTAGAAGACATCGTTTAATCTCTCTAATGGGAGTTTCTTCTCGTAAAAGCAAAAAGAGAGGATAGGACAGAAGTTTGAAGGATGTATTGGCAAAGTACTTCGAAAAGAGAGTACTGCTTTTCGTCTTTCCATTTTCAAGCATCGATGATGGGACAGAATCGAGTCTTTTCCTTTCTCATGATTTAGAGAATAATTATTCGTTTATTATCACTTTTTTGCTAATTTGTCATCTGAATGAATTATTGGAAATTTTTTTTTAATATTCTTTTAATAGATTATATACAAAATCTGTTTTGAACAAAATTTCGATTTCTTTTGTAATAAATTGTTTTTCAATAGTCAATGGACTGGTTGGAATTCATTTTTATAGTTTGTTCTACTCTAAATTGTAACAAATTAAATTTTGCACTGCTCTTCGTACTAGCAAGGGTATAGTTAATTAGCAAAATTTCAATGGTTTATTACAATTAGCAAAAGAATTGTCGGAAACCAAAGATGGACATAAAACACACTTCTTCTTCTTCTTTCACACTTTAATTATAAATGCTATTTGTGATATTTATTGTTTTATGCTTTCTAAATTATTTCTGCAAAATTTCGAAAAACTTTTAAAAAATGTGCAAAAATATGTTTGAAAATTGAATGCTCTAATGAAGCGTAAAACAAAAACGAAAAAAAAATAGATTGAAAGTGACACAAGGATAGAATGGAGAAATTTGATAGTAATATGAGTATTCATTCATTTAATTATTAAGCAAAAATATTTGAACGGGAACAAACAGATAATTTTTTTCTTTTTCTTTTTTTTTTAATATTTGAACAAGCAGATATTTTTACTTCTCTTTTTTAAGTTCAAAGAAAAATTTAACTAAAAAAGCTAAAACAAATAAAAAATCTATAGCAAAATGCACAAAATTTTTTTCGTTTGCTATATTTTGATTTTGCAATATTTTTATCACCATATTATATCAGCCAAATCCTGTTATAAATAAACAAATCACTTGATAACTGTTTATTAAATTTAAAAAAAGAATTAAAAATATATGTTTTGAAAAATATTCCTGACACTTTCAGAAAAAACCATATTATTCCCTAATTATCAAAACAAATAATGTGGTAAAGTAAATAAAATAAATAGTAAAGTATATTGATTAGAATTTCCATAAAAATTGATTATTAATTTAGCGCTAGAGAAGCTTGGAGAGTGAGGTGGAAAATTGGCCTTATTTGATAACAAATGAATCAGTTTTAAGAAAGAAGCATTGGTATTAGAAATTTAATATTTGTTGATTTCGAAAAAAAAGTCCTATCAAAATTTCCAGAAGCAATGTAGTTGAACAATTTTGGTTTGATTTATTCGTTCAAACTTTGAATACACTACAATTTTTTTTTAGAAGAAATGTAATTGAATGCTTCATTTTGTTTACTAATTCATATAAAATAATATCCAAATGCATTTAAAACTCCATCGATTTAGGCTACAAAGCTGCAAGGTATTTCGTTGTTAACACTTTCATTCATTTAATGGAAGGTAAATATTTCACATATTGCCTTGAGTTTTTCGAGATACTATGAATTTTCTTGAATTTATGGTATTTCCGGACAAACATTTTAGTTGGTAACAAATAACCATAAGTTCAAAAAAATATGAAAACATGAGATGAAAATCTAAATATTAAAAATCTGTTTGCAAAATATCACCAAAAAAAAAACGAAACAAAAATATCACTGCCGGTAAATTTTGAGCAAATAATTTGTTTGAAATTTGAAATTTTAGATAATTACTGGACAACTTAATGGGATCTACCATAGTAATATTATTGATTGCTTTGTTTTATACGATGAAAGCATTTCGACTTCTTGAAGAGTTCGTTTTTTTCCTTTTGTTCACCTTTATTTCTAAATTACTTCAATATCGTACTCCACTTCAAGTTGCTCTACTAACATATTTTATTCCAACATCATTAGTAATTTTCTCACAATAAAAAAAAGAAAAGAAGGAAAAGGAAACCAATACAGAAAGTGGATAATTGGAAAGGAAGAAAAGTTTTCAAAGAAAATTTGCTGATGGCAAGAAAAGAAAAATCTATTAATCTATTTGTTATACATATATATTCATTACTATCTTTATTTGTAAGTGTAGTTGTAATTTAATTACAAACAATTGAAATAAGGTTTTTTCTCTCGGTTACTTTTAGATTTTGTAGTTTTCTTTCTGCATTCTTTCTCAGCAATTTAATTTCACATTGAACATAAAAACTCTATGGATCAATAATTCAATTCTATTGGAATTAGATGCTTTTGGTACCTAATTCATCATTTGTACAGATCAGTTGACACAATAACACACACATAACAGACACAGACAGACACATTTTCAATAAACCTATGCTGAATTAATGGCTGAGGCATTAATTGAGCATAGGTTTATTGGAAAACAAACTGGTTACATGACAACTGATGGGCCTTGAGAACTTTCCCACGAGTCATATTTGTTAAAAATGAATGGGATTTTTTAGTGAATATGATCCGCAGACCAGAAAAATCTCAGAAATATTAGACGTCCTTATCGATAATAATACTTATGATAGACGTCTAAGGCCAAAACATGGTGAAGAACCGGTAAACGTTGGTATTACGTTACATGTGTCAAGCGTTAGTGCAATATCCGAAGTTGATATGGTATGTATATGTTAGATATGATAATGATAAGAGTAATATTATTTCCTGACGTCATCTCCTACAATCTAATGAATATTTAAAGTTCGAGGGTTCCTTTTTTGTTTTTAAAATATTTTTATGGCCTCTTTTCAATATTTTGTAAGCAATCGATTTTTGTTTTCAGGACTTTACGATCGATTTTTATTTGAGGCAAACTTGGAATGACCCACGCCTTGCATTTAGCCATTACCTGTATGGTATCTTCGAAAATAACATTGATTCATTAACGGTTAAAATTTTTGCCATAATTTTGATAATTTTACAATTAGTTAATGTAAAGTTAGAAAGAATAATTAAAATTTATTTCATTAACAGATTTTAAAATAATACCGTGACTAAAATGATGTTTCAATAAAGAATCGAAAAGCTGTAACTGCCAGGCACATTCATCAACAATAAATTATTCTCGAGTTTCATTGAAACACCAGTATATGCCAGATAGAGTTCATTCCAGAAGCATACAAAGCATATACAAACAGGCCATCTATCATATTATGGTAATTCTCTACTCAAGACTTGACCTTTACCGATATATGTGCCATCGTATCCTAGGCTAGAAAATCAATAGTGTTTTTTTTTAATATCACGAAATTTTTAAATAAGAATAATCCAAAATAATTCAACGAAGCCAATTTTCAGCAAGGTGAAAAAGTAATCAACTACTCATATCCACAACATATTTTATTCGTTGAAGTAGTGAAATACGACAGCGTTCCCTAGATTGAAATGAAGTCAAAGAATCTACATACTTGAAACTGACAATGATAGTGATAATGAAATACTCCATTTAACAAAGTGAATAATATATTTAGGTTGGCGTAGATTATCTACAGAAATTATGGAAACCAGATACATTTTTCCCGAATGAGAAGAGGTCATACTTTCACGTAACTACAACGCATAATTCATTCTTGCGCATCTATCCAAACGGCAACGTATTTACCAGTCAGAGGTTTGTTTCTTTTTAAAACTGATGGAAACATTCAATCTCAATATCAAATTTGAAGAAGGGAAGAATTAATACGAGGAAAATTTGAAATAAAGGATTTGAAACGATAAAAGTAAGGACATTGAGTGATTAAAAACCTTAATGAACGGATAATTAAATAATTGAGAAGCACTTTTCAAAGCACCAAATCGCATAGGTACCTATGAAATATCGTTCAACAAAATTTGGTAGCTTGATTTTATAGAATGTGAAAGAATTCATAGAATTTAATAAAATTTAATAGAAATTTTGATTCACATGCTTACAGGCTAACTGTTACAGCTATATGTAACATGGAACTTCAGTTATTCCCTATGGATTCCCAGAAATGCAAACTTGAAATTGAAAGCTGTTAGTTGAATTCCTTAATTTTATTGCACCATAAGTAAGAACAAGTTCAAAAATCTTAACTCTTGCGAAATTATAATGAACATTTTTGACCTTGACGAATTCAGCAATACCTTTCAGCGTAGTTAATAATAGATTATGTCATTCAACATTAAACTTATGAATATAGGAACCACTAACGAGAGTATGTGTTGCAGATGGATACAGCGTATTAGATATTGTTTACTTTTTCAATAACTCGAAAAATCCAGTATCGAAATCAGAATTTGAATTGCCTCAGTTTGTACTCATCGATATACAAGTTGCATCACGAAATGTTGCCTTAGTTTCTGGTGAAGCATAGAATTCTTCCTTAAAAATTTGCAAAATTTAGAAATATAAAGACTAAAGAGCATTCTCAAGGGAAAGTATACGATTTCATATTTCATTTACAAAATATTTTGTCTGTCCGCATATTTTAAATTCTTATAACTGCTTGTCAAATTTTCGCGTATGTTAAAGTCTCCCCGAGTTGTTTTATTTTACTAGTTATTTACTTTCCAACTAAATTTCAGGGAACTCATGTCTAACATTTAAAATTTCAGGCAACTACTCACGTCTAACCTGCACATTTCTTTTCAAGCGAAATATAGGATTCTACATAATTCAAGTTTATTTACCCTCAATTTTGATCGTTATCATATCGTGGGTATCTTTCTGGCTCAACCGTGATGCAACTCCAGCACGAGTAGCGCTTAGTGTACTTACCATACTTACTATGACTACACTTACCGCAACTACAAATGTTAGATTTCCATCTTCTCTGCGACCGTGTTCATTAAATTCTAATCTTATCAGGATTAGTCCATAAAATTTATAAAATTAATCAGTTCGAAATATAAATTTTATTGTCCTTCGAGTACATTCTTTCCTGAAATATTATTCTTCTCAATACCGAGATTGATTAAAAAAGCAATCGAATCACTCGCTGACTAATTTTATTCTTTGTTTGATTTTAAAATGATGAAATTACAGGCCTCAATGCCGAAAGTTTCTTACGTTAAAAGCATCGACATATTTCTCGGTTAGTCATATACATGAAAATTCATTGGTGCACAAAAGAAAATCGTTCGTTCCATTATTTAAGTAAAAATTTCCCACTTCAATATATAGCAGAGGGTCATTCTCATACAGTAGGGTCATTATCAAACAAGAAAGAGGATTCTGATAGAAACAATTACTCCATAATATCCGAATTAATGAACAATTTTTAGGTGTATCATTCATTATGGTATTCAGTTCATTACTTGAATTTGCTGCCGTTGGATATATCAGTAAAAGAATAAAATTGAACGAAAGGAAGCAAATGGATATGTGTAGGCAAGTCTTACTTTCTTATTCAAATCTGTTTTGTTATTGTTTTTCTCTCTTTGAAACTCGCAATAATTCAAGATTTAGTAAAAGGATACTCTCATCCTTTTTTTTCGACTTCGAACTTGCCCCAAAAATGATTTGAACAATCTAATTAACTTGCAATAATGACTGCGATTATTTTTAAGGAAGTTACCAAGTGCATTATCAGCCTGCTTCTATACTATGCCATCAAGAACAGAGGACACTATAATTCCGCTCTATCATCCATTTTATTCATCTCGTGATAAAAATTCCATTCTGTACAATGGAGGCGCAATCAAACCACCTGTAATTCTGAAAAAAGTTGGTATCCATAATGAATACCTTGCAAAGATATTGGTTTGAAATTTACTAATATACGACCACATTTTATAGCTGATACTCAGTGCCATAAATTATTACTAAACTTAACATACAAATATACGACAGTTGAAATTTCGGCATTTACATTTTCGAGAAATACTGCAGCTATCTACAAATTACACTTACTGCACTGCTACCTAGAATACGGTAAAGTGGCTACTGTAGCCTGAAATTCATTAAGCATGAATGATTCCTTTCAGTATTAACTGATATGAGCAAATGCAATAATTGTAATCCATTTCGACCAGTCTGGTAATAACGATAACTGTTAAAAAATGTATAAAGAAAGGATAATTCAGGGTGAATGTCAATGTCCGATACCTCCACCATCACCGACATCGGCATTTCATATAAAGAAAACCCCAAAAAAGGAATATATAATATTGTTCTGTGTCATACGACCCAATAAAATCGATAAATATTCGCGATTTATTTTTCCTTTGGTAAAAATCCATAATTATCACAAATAATTAAATTCCGGAATAAGAATTCGAAAAAAAAATGTAATGCTTTCTCTTCTGTTCATTCTATTAATTTCATTAAATTATCAGTTCCACAAACTTCATGTACTATCAGTTTCAGATTTTCCTGGTATTCAACATAATATACTGGTTCTATTACTACAGCATCAGCGGTACGGAGCTTACGAATATAGACTTGCTGTGAAACAGTTACTGTACCCTCAGTTTCCCACTTCATGCATCACTTTTTCCATAATTCCATCGTTCAATTTTCAGGGAATAATGCTATCCATAAGAGAGCAAATATTTTGATTGACGTTTTTTTATAAATTTTAATGCGATTTCAAAATAAATGTTTCCAATGTGAATTATTAAAATCATTCTATGCTTATCACTTTATCATCGATGATCTTTCCATAGTAGTATACTTCGCTGAACATTTTCCTAGCAAACCTAAGAATGTTTAAAAATTTGAGTAGCGTGGGAAATTATCAACTTATCACACCCACAAGCAAGCCTCATTCTACTTTGAAAGATCAGCGAAAGCTGCAATAGCTTTACACAAAACTCAATTCATTTGAATTTTAATAAATCATTTAAAGCGTAGTAGTGAAATTTTTTTCATTCAATTCAAAGGCTAAAAATAATATGCGTTTCGCTCCAGATAAAATGTACTGTAACGGACGAATTAATCAATTCAGAGTGACAATTAATTTCATAACAATACGAAAGATACAAACAAGACACTGACAAATTTTATAATGCTAAATATTAAGATGAAAGAGTAGGTCACCTAAAATGGCAGTCCTATTGGAAGATTAGGAATTAGAAATTCATCATAATTACCGATGAGATTCAAGGATTTTAGTCGTAACTGATCACTTGCAAGTAGAATTACAGAAATGAACAGAAGAAAAGAAAAAGAACACCGCGCAAACAACGGCAGTCTCGACGCATTGCACCGTTCAGTGATTCATTTATGACGGACCGCGAAAAAGCAGGCGTATCCATTAGATTGAGGTCACAGTATTTTGGGAGGTAGGATGGATTGGGAGGCTGTGATGTTGTATACTTTTTACTCTTAATTGGGTGGAAATTTTTTCCTTAACATCAATTGAATGTGCTATCCAAGTAATTATCAAAACTGGCTGAAAGTTGTTCGATTTCGAAATTGTTATTCAAATTTAGCCGCTGATAAAATGGTTAATGTGTCGAAGGAGTTATTGGACAAGTTTTATGATCTCGCCGATTTCGACCAGCATAGGCGTCACAATGCTGTGATTGCCATTTTGGATGAAGTAAGTCGTACTTAAATCCTAAAGTTTTCCGTATTCCTTGCACAAACTCAAGAATTTAAAACTCTATACCTTTATCTTCCACTTTTTTGCAAAATTTTCTTTCCATTTTTTTTGCCACTGACAATGAGAAAATAACATGAGGACTAGGATTATGCCCAAGTTCGCTTTTCCTGTTTTTTGTACTTATGGGCAAGAATTATTATTCTCAAAGTAAAGTTACTATGGAGATTTGATAGACCTGTTGTAGAGTTAGGACGAAATCTCTTGTCTTACCGCATCTTCTTATTGATATAGATCGGTACACAGGATAATAAATCATTGGTGAGATTGTGATACAGAAGAGAATTATAGGTTTAAAGTTCCCATTCAAAGGGATATGAGAGAATGTAAACGAAAACTGTTTTTCAGTTTGAGCAAAATGGTTCGTATTTGATGGAGAGATTGGTAGCCGGCCTGGCTTCATCACGAGCTGCTGCACGTCTCGGTTATACAAATGCGCTTACCATTATTCTTTCTTCATTTGGGAAAGATTATCCAATTGAAGTGTTGTTCAAATTAGCTGACCAGAAGTTACCGTTAAATAAAGCGGTTCGTTTTCAGGATTTTTCTTTTAAACTCAATAGTTTCTTAACAGAGGACTTTTGTCGTTTGAGTATATTGCACTCTAAGGGAAGGGGCAACTTTAAAGGAAATTAAAAATGCAGTTCATTCTTCGGAATAGTCTGCGTTCATTAATAACGATTGCGCAGTGTTCCTGAAAAATTTTGTATGGCAAATATTTCTTTATTAGTTTTATGACTGTTTTACTATAAAATTATTTTATTTCAGGAAAATCCTGGTTCACTATTAGGTCAACATTTATTTCATTTGGCTATGGTGAACAGCGATGCATATAATGACGTATGTATCTCTTTACTTTCTCACATTTCTTAGTCTTCTTTTGAACTTGATGAGTTTATCTTTTTTCCAAATAAGTTGTGTTACTTTTTAGGCACTATTAGAAGTAGGAAGGCGAGAAATGAGCTTGGTGGAAAAGCAAAGTGGTTTGGCTTATTCGGCAACTAATTTATTAGCTCAGTGTGCGAATAAATTGCGAGAAAAGAGATTTGCAAAGGATTTTTGGCCCCTTGTGAAGAAAAATGTTACGAAACCACTGGATTCACTTGATTCAGAATGGTTCTATTTTGCTCTGCATGTTATGGAGAAGCATAGCGTAAGTAAAAGATTTAAACGATAAAATTCCCATAATGAAGCAATATAATTCACTGATTACAAATTTTACTACCGTTGTCATCTTAGTGATCATTTGCTGCAGGATGCGTTGAAAACTGAGGTATCCTTTTTGTCAGCCAGTGGAGAATTAAATATTTCCGATAAAGACTGTGATGCGGTTATAAACATTCTAAAGGTCATTTTTGACTATTATTTTCACGTATTTTATTTGTCATGAATGTTGTCGACGGTTACCAATCGATGAAGAATGATTAGTTTGAGGTGCTAAACCTTGTTTCATGCTTTTCATCACTACGAAAACATTAAAGTTCTTAAAAAGCACTCAAGCCGTTTAACTGTGATGGACACCGAAAATTTAAAGGAGTAAATATTAGAACAGTTTTTAAGAAAGCAAGTGGCTCTGGTGAGAACGAACTAATTTCAAAATTGTTGCTTCTCGCACGAGCATCGAAGAATTTCGAAACAGTTTACTGTAAAATTGTCGAGAAATGGTTGTATCATGGCGATTTACACAGAGTAATGATTAACATTTATTTGATGGTGAACGTACTTGGTTAAGATTTGTTTTTCAGTTGTCATATTGACATAAAATATTGACAATGACGTCGTGAACTTTAGGAGAAGTCCAAATTGATCTTCATTTGTGCTTTGTATTGATTAACTGAGCGTTTTGTTGTCTCCGATTACCGGATGTCATTACTTTTCTTCGTATAATACGACTTTCAGGTTATATCTCGCGCACTACCGTTTATTAATACAATGCTACAGCAAATAGATTTCGAAACCGATGAGGTTTCGTTTTGGCTTACTGAATTTTTTGCTAATTTCCTGTGTTATTATTTGATCTTGCCAAACAATCTAAAACTGCTATACACTTTTTCTAAAATATTCTTTTATTGATTCCCAGTTTGTGATATTTCTCTCAAATTTCTTCTTTAGTTGATGGCTATATTTTCTTCCGAATTTGTGCGCTTGATAAGATCAATACGAAGGAGCAATGAATTTCGTTTCTTGTTCTCCACGATTGAAGCTATCCTACTAGTTCTTAAAGAGGTTCTTTCCGTATCTTTTCTCATCATGAGAGTTTTTTATAATTAAGTTTTCTTCGGAAGGAATAATTTAACTTTCCTTTCATCCGCTCTTTTAAGACAATTCTGCTGTTTTAAAAAGAAAAGTGCAGTTTTTGTCTTGGGAAGAACGTTCTGTTTTAGTCGCTTGCTACAAAAGAATGGACATCAACTAACATTTCTAAATTACTTAACAATTTTGATCGCGTTGGAAATGGAAATTTTGATGAATTCATCGGCGGAAATGTTAAAATCACGGAAAAGATTCTACTGCAATTGCGTGATGATCCCCACGATATAGTTAATGTGGTAACTAATTAATTTAATCGAGTTCTAATTCACATATTTTAACAATGAATCAAATATCGAATATATAAAAAACTTTATTTGTCTCCCGTTGACTGCATTTAAAGAATTTGTTTCATAGGCCTTGAAGGAAGGTGGTTGGAGATTGAGACGGATAGCGAATGTATTTATACATTGGCCCACAAACGTCCAAGAAAATGTCTTGAAACTGTTATTCAAACACGGAAAATGGACAGAGGAAGTAAGCTTTCGACTTAATTACATGACCGTTGATTTTCTACAATTAAAATTACGGAAATAAATTTGAAATGATTTGCTTGTTATACCTTAATCTTTTTAATATTTCAGACACGCAATGCTTTTTGTTCTTCTCTTGCTTCCTTATTCATTGTGAGTGTAAGGGCAGGCAGAAATGTGACTGCGATTTATAGAGAAGAGCACAAAAAGCTGTTACAAAAACTAATCAAAAAACAGGATACAAGAGTTAAATTGCCTGTGGTTAACGGGTGATTTTTTTAACTGTTTGTACGGCATCAGTATTCTTTTAAATTTGTATATTAAAGGAGGGCTGTTCTTGTCATCGATTTTTATCATTAGTAAGACTTCATAATGTTTTCTTGATCATTTATTGCAAATTTCTATTTGAGCAGCAAACAACTTCAAAGTTTTTGCAGAACTTTGTCCGTCTTTATGAATATGCTTACACTTTGGATAGCTGCAGCATCGGATTCGAATGAGCGTCATTCATATTTAAAAGATCTTGCTGAGACGGCAGAAATTAGTGAAAAAATGACAGGAAACGACGACAATAGTAGTATAGCGGTATATATGTTGATCATATTTCAAACTTATCTGAATGCAAGTCGTTAATGGGATACCAGCTATAATAAATGTTTTAATCCCTTATTATATGTTTAATATCCGTTCTTCATTTGTTTTTCCTTACTGTTTTGTAATGTTCCTTACCATATTTTTCTTTTTCACGATTTTAAATATTCTGTAATTGTTTAGCTTTATTATTCCTTTATGCTTGTATATTTATGCGAATAAATTTCAGATTTTGAATGATTTATTACTTTCTTTATTGAGTCGACCCCATCGATATCATCGCCCAGTCGTTCATTACGTCTTTGCTTCGTTCGTTCCACGGATGAAACTAGAAAATCTTCTGCAGATTCTTGAGGTTTCAATTTTATTGTTTAATGATTGTTGAGTATTTCAAAATTACTTTCAAATGCAAAAATGTCAACTATGTTCGACATCGAAAAGTGTTGAACTGGTAATGTTTTGCTCATTAGTTTTTGGATGTAACGATTTAATGCTTGAAATTATACTGTAAACGTTTTTTGCTTTTTTAAAGACTATCAACCTCAGCAATGAAGAGTTAATGCTAGAAAAAGACGCAAGCGAAAGCGATGATGAAAATGACTATGAGGATTCTGAACAAACCAGTGAAGAGAATGGTTTGATTAACCTATATTAACTTTTGTGTAGGTTGAATTTGTCACTTAAGAGAAGCGCATGGACTGTATTAGTAATTCATTCCAGAAATGAATAATAATGGCGATATTATGGACCGAGATGAAGAAACGGATGATTCAGAATTTGAAGAGGAAGACGAAGAGGAAAGTGAAGTTGATGAGGAATTTGTCAATAATCTCAAAACAGCACTCGGTTCTGTTGCTGCATGTTCAGATAATGACAGTGATAGGGTAACTGAAGTTTCTTAAAAATCTTAACTAGGTTGAAATTGAAATTATGTTAAGATTGACGACAATCTTCTGCGAGAAATGGCAAAAAAGTCGTAGTTTCATTTTTTTTATTTTAGTACCCTTTAATTTCCATCAATGTATATTCCCTTTCAAACTATTCGGTCCATAAAAAAATGGTTTTTAGAACAGCTTATCATCAACAGTAAGTGACGAGACGATGTTTCGCTTGGATGAAAGCCTGGCAGCTGTATTTCGTAAAAAGATGAAAAATTCGCGAACTCTAAGTGCATTCTTAGTGGAGCAGTCTCAGCAGTTTCGTGCTAAATGTTTTGACCTGTTATTGATAGCAGTATCTCATCAAGACGGAGCATACAACACAGTAGTATGATTTTTTTTTTTCTTTAAATTTCTTCCAAATTGAATAACAATGAACAAATTATATGCTTTACAGGATCTTATTTTGTGGTTTACAGGATCTTATTTTGCCTTTAATTGAATGTGCTCAACAAGCTCTGCGTAAAAAAGATGGAGAACTAACTTTCAAAAAAGCAACAAACTTACTGGAAATTATTTTAAAACACAAAAAGGTATTAAATGTCGATTATACTGTGCAAACTTGTGTATTCATGTTTTTGTATAGAAACTTTCGCTAGTTATATTTATTTAGAATGAGCTAAATGAAAAGAATGCTATTAAACTATTGGATGAACTTGTCCTGAAAACATCACAAACCGTAAATCCTGTTATGAGGAATATTCTTGGCAGCGTTGCAAGTTTTTGGTAAGTCTTTTTGATAATTCTTAATTATTTTTTTTTTNTT